CGTGGGGGGGGTCGTGAGGGAGGTCGCGAGGGAGGTCGCGAAGGGGGACAGACGCGCGTGATCGACATCCAGTCGCTGGAAGCCGCGCGGATCGTGAACCGAGTACACGGGTCGGGTCCGTTGTCGCTGGAAACGCGCGGGAGACGGAGCCGGATGCGTGCGGGGCGGAGGCTGTGGACGCGGTACGGCAGGCGTTGTTGCGGAACGCGGTTGCGCGGCCGGTTGCTGACGCGGATGGGGCCGGAGTGGGCAGCGACGTGCGCGATAGTGTGTGCCGGCTCGTCTTTAATCAGAGCTGGCGCGATTTGCGGCCGTGGGTGGAGGTGATGCCCGCTGTGATCGCGGCCGTCGAGGCTCGCAACTGGCTCGAAGACGCCGGCGAAATTCCACCACTGCGCCTCGCCTCGCCCGTTTCCGATGTCACACGCTGCAGCACCGGCTACGACTAGAGCGAGTCTGACGAACGGAACCCAACCGGGTCGAACCCGGATGTTCCGTACCCATACACCTGACGGGGCGGGGTGTTAAGTACGCCTGGCGGGGGCGGGGTGTTCCCTGCGTGGTGTGCTCTCTTCAACAGTACGGGTGTGCTCTCTTCAACAGTACGGGTGTGCTCTCTTCGGCCGTACAGGTGTTCCCCTCCACCTTTCTTACACCCCCCAGAAAAGCTTCTCGGGGGGTGTGGCGGCGTATTTTTAGCATGCAGTTGGAACGTAGTTAAAATAATGATGGGGATGCCGCAATTGTTTGAAGACCGGCCGTGGCCGAGTGGCGGGCAGCAGGGCTCCTCGTCGCCAGCGCAGTCGCCAGCCACGGCGCCAGTGAAGCGCGGGCGTGGACGGCCTCGGAAACACCCACTGCCTGCAGCGGATGCAGCGAAGACGCGTGTGAAGGCGAAGCAGGCAACGCACCGCCGGGTGGGTGTATACGGGGAGTATGACTCGCCGAGTCCGGATGACGGGGGCGACCAGTGGGACCCGGCTAGCTCCTGGCCAGGTGAGTACGCCGACTATGGGGGCGCCGGAGGCTGGACGGGCGAATACTATGGCAATGCGCCCTATGGCAGTCCCTCCTATAATGGCTACCCCGTTCCCGACTACAACTACGGTTCTCCGGCACCGAGCGCCGCCCCGCCTCCGGGAACCGAAGACGCCGCCGGCGATTGGGGCTCGCCCTACCGCAGCCCCCTGATGTCCGGCAACACTGGCAGCCCCGGGGCCACCGGGCCCGGCATGCCCGGATCAGGGATGCCCGGGCCCGGGATGCCGGGCCCCGGGATGGCCGGGCCCGGACAGGAGTACGAGATGTACGGAGGAGGTGGCGGTGCAGTTGGATCCGGCGTAGTAGACTACATGGGGGGTTACGATGCCTACAAGTACCCCTCAGCGGATAATACCCAGGTCGTGCCGCGGATGCAGCCTACCAGGGACCAGGGCGCGAACCGCATGATTCAGTGGCACACTAACCCGACCATCCGCTCGGCAGACGCTAGAAGCTTCTACAAGCTCACAGGCTACGTGGGGGCGCCACAGGAAGAACCCGCTACCGAGGCTAATACTCCCCGACCGGTCATGTCCGAGCCCTCTACGCCATCCACCGTCGACCAACAGGCCTCTATAAACGCTACAGCGCAAGCGCAGCTCCAGACGCGACTTTCCCAACAGGGGTGACCCCCTGGTGGCAACTCTGCCGCTGTATGCCCCCCATTATTCCGTTCGAGGTGATTGCTTTCTGGCCAGAGCTTCACGCTCACGAGCACTTCGCAAAGTGCGTCAAGATTAACATGCCGGCCCAGAATAGAAACATGCGCCGGAACGGAACGAGACGATAGCACCCAACGATACGAAAGCACACGCCAAGATGAGTGGGTGCCAACTGCGTGCCGATATGAAGGTCAACCCTGTGCCAACTGCGTGCCCAGATGAGTGTCAGTCGCATGCCTGGATAAGTGCCAACCGTATGGCTGCTTGGGCATGTGTTCCGTCGGGACCACACGTGTGTGACTCCGAACCATACAGCAATTGGATGTACACTCGCGGACGGACACAAGTGGACGGACACTCGCGGACGGACACTCGCGGACGGACACTCGCGGAGGGAGGCAAGTCGGATTGAGATCATATCCTCTCGGAGTCGTTTGATTTCCCTCAGCGGTGAAGCAAGTCGGATCGCGCGGCCGCTGTTTGAACCACGATCCGGCCCAAACACAACAAAGGCTTTTTCCGAACAGCATCACGTTTGGACAAAGACGTCAATTGGGTTTGTAGTGGAGCCATGCTTTTTATGCAAGTATCCCGTTACTATGGAGTAGCATGGATGCGTTGCTCTGTTCCTATAATGCACTTTGCAGGGAATGGTGCCGGAACAAATTGAGCAATTTTGGTAGGTGTTTTTGGTCTAGAAACATGCCCACTGGTATTCAGGTATTTCTCAGTAACGGGCCCCCGCGGCAGCGAAGGAAGATCACGTCACCGGAAGGCTTAATAGCACGCCAGCGAAGCGTTTCCCCCAATGCCTTTCGATTAGCGTCAACCGACTTACTGGAAGGAGAGGAAATCGGAACACCGCCGAACACTGCCAGGAGTCCCAGTAGGCGCATAATGTCTATCAATGATACCCCACAGACTGCGCGAGACCACACTGCGCGAGACCCGACTGCTCGAAACCATTCCACTCGGGAGTACTCTGCCTTGAACAATTCCGCTTTAAACAATTCTGCTTTGAGCAGTCCTACTAAGGAGATATCGTCAAAGGACCAGGCGGCAAATTATGCACTGGATCTCTCTAGGTCATCCCCCGACCCGCAACTCGCTGGCCCGATTCACAGCTCCCCCCGGGTACCCACCGACTTCATTCCTTCGCGACGCATAATCCGACCCGCAGAGCCCAAAACACCGGGGAAGACACCGACTGCGCGGCTTCTGGACAGCCGTGCTAGGCCGAGTAGCCCGTCGAAGCCCGTGAAACGCTCTATTGAGACCAGGGGGTCTCCTGACAAAGCTGTTGATAAAGGTTCCCGCGATCACAAATCGGACCAGGCAGATCGTCAACTTGAAAATCAATGGGGGCAGGCGTCTCCCAGGACTGAGGCTTCTCCCAGGACTAAGGCTTCTCCCAGGACTGAGGCTTCTCCCAGGACTGAGGCTTCTCCCAGGACTGAGGCTTCTCCCAGGACGGAGGCCTCTCCCAGGACGGAGGTCTCTCACAGCACTGCGGCCGCTCACAGCACTGCGGCCGCTCACGGGGCTTCAGCTTCTCGTGGGGCTACGGCTTACGGGGCTGCAGCCCAGGAGGCCGAGAGTCACGGGTCTGAGGCTTACCGCCCGCGGGGGAGTAAGTGGAAGGGAACCAGCGGAAAGTCGACTCCTGCCAAGAAGGTACCGAGTCCCGCTGAGGTGGCAGGCCCCGCGAAGGTCCCTGGTCACGAAAAGCCATCTGGCCACGAAAAGATGCCTGGTCACGAGAAGATGCCTGGTCACGAGAAGGTGTCTGGTTACGAGACGACGGCTTGTGCGAGTAAGAGGGGCCCTAGTGAAGGCAAAGCGGACCTGGATGTAGTGGGTGATAAAAGGGTGGTTTCACACCAAAAGAAGCTGGCAGGTAATAGTGTTTCCGGCAGCCCAATAGTCAAGCCTGTTGACGCCACGGGGGTGGCAGAACCGCGGCAGAAGAGGTCACTGGCGAGGGAGAGTCCAGAAAGAGAGAACTCAGCAAGGGAGAGTGCAGGAAGAGAGAATCGCTCAAGACAGCAGTCAGACGGAAGGCCAAAATCCGGCGCAAGACAGCAGTTAGACGGCGCAAGACAAAATGCAGGTACTAATTCTCGAGGTCCGTCGCGAGTAGACGTTATTAGGACGGATGCGTCAAGCAGCCCGTTAGTGAAATCCCAAGGAGCGAGTTCCCGCCATGTGCCCAGAGAGACACCTATGGCTCAGCCGACTGCTTTGTCACATGAAGACACACTTCGGGAGCGTTGTTCCGGACGGCCAGCTGAGTCCGGTGGCCCTGGAGATAAGACCTTAGAATTACCGTGTGCCGCAACCGGACCCCGCCTTGACAACGGAGCTCAGATGGGGGACCGCTCGGGCAGTTGGCCCTCTGCGGATGAGAAGCTGTCGGAGCCGGCAAAGGAGGCAGATCTCGTGGTCGATCCAAGCGTCGATCCAAGCGTCGACCCAAGCCTCCTCGATCCAAAGTTCGTCGATCTAAGATTCGTCGACTCAAAGCTTGTCGACCCAAAGCGTGTCGACCCAAATCGTGTCAATCCAAAGCTTGTCGATCCGAAACTTGTGGGTGCAGAAGCGAGCACGACGGGCCGTGGAGTGGGAGCCCCGCCTGCATTGCCGCCCACGTTGACGCCTGAGCGGACGCCTGAAAAGCATGACGAGGGAGCTTACTCGTTTACACAGACTCCAGAGTCTGACTTGCATATACCCGATCTTCCTGACGGGACGTTTCGAATGGATGCCTCCGTAGGCGAACTTTCGTCCTCTAATAACAGTCGCTTCAAACAGTCCGAACTGGCCACGGTAGAGGCCAGCGGGAGTCCCCCGTTACCGACTGGAGGAGGACCGGCTCAAGAATGGATTGCTGACGGCTCGATACCGGTGTTGACCAACCCACCTGGCGCTTTCCCTCAGGGTTCTTTGCCTCAAGATTCTTACCCTCAGGGTTCTTTAGCTCAGGGCCCTTTCCTCCAGGGTCCTTTCCTGCAAGGTCCTTTCCTGCAAGGTCCTTTCCTGCAAGGTTCTTACCTCCGAGGAGCCTTCAGTTTGGCTAGTACCGATTCGTCGATGGGAATCCATGCGAATGAAAACTGTCGATTCGCGGACGCTGGCAAGCCTACCATTTTTGCCGCTGCCGCCGACGGAGTGGTCAATAGACGGCGAAGAACGATCCAGACAACCCGGCTGGACATTATAAATGAACCTTATGTGCCCGAAATTAGCTTAAGTCGGGCTGTACGGCAGGGAACTAGCACGCGTGTGCAAACGGCCGTGCACGAATGGGCAAAAAACAGACAAGCCCTGAGTCGAGTGCACAGAAGGATCTTTGACACTAAACCTTTGCCACCTACCATTCATAGTCCGATCCAGAACTCTCGACCGTATCATACAGTGGTAACTGAACAGGGCATTGCTCTGAAAACGTCAATCACGACTCGCAAAATATATCTTGTCGGGGCTGAAAAACATGAACCGGCTACAATATCTACAGTTCCTGTAGTACCTACAGACAGTGGCGTTGGCACTGGTGCTGCTACGGTACAGAATACTGCCGCTACAGGCGATGCTGCCCACCTCGATCTTTATCTTGATTCGCATGCCGATCAATCAGATCGATCGGTTCCGGCTCCGGCGATTCCGACGGATCCGACGGCGCTGCGGACGGGCGACAGCCGGTGCGCGGTTCGTGCACCGGCCATGAAGGTGCTGGGTGGCGCAGTGTTGGGTGGCGCAGTGGAGTGTTTGGGGATCGGTCGACGGAAGCGTCTGGGCAGTCGGCCTTTGCGGGCGGCGCACGTGATCACCCGGATACCGCCGCGGTTGGCGTACAACATTCCTCCGTTTGGGGTAGCGGGACGCGTGCTGGCGCAGCCGCGACGAGTCTTACGACATGCGGCATCGGACAATGTGAGTCATCGCGCGGGTGTGGACGACGAGGGAGACGAGCCCGACTTCGAACCGTTGGCGAGACTGGAGCGGTGGAAGACGGCCGTAGTCCCCTTTGGCAGTGATGATACTACCTCCAAGTTCGACGACTTTTTCGAGTCGCCACTACACCGTCCAAAGGTGTCCCCCAAACGCTTCTACCCTAGACCGAATGGACCTCTTATCCCACCCGATGAAGATGAAACCCTCAGCGACGTCACCGTCCTCGGAGCCTCCGCTGGTAGCAGACCAGTCAGCAGCCAAGTCAGCAGCCAAGACGCCACCCGACCACACGACCCTTACAGACCACCCACACCCGTCCTCCCCGCCGCGCCTCACTCCCTCGAGACATCCCCACGTGCCCAAGACACCTCCAGGACCATGGCCGCTGCCAGGCTTGTCGAGATTCACAACGAGAAAGACCCATTCGCGCAACGAGCACCACAAGCCCCGGGAGCACCACCGGCCCCGGGAGGAGGACCACAGACCTCGGGAGGAGGACTAGAGACCTCGGTAGGAGGACTACAGACCTCGGGAGGAGGACCACAGACCTCGGGAGGAGGACCAGAGGCCACTCAAAAGACCGGTCAGTCGGCCGACCTGGCACAGACGGTCGGCCGGGACCGCGTCGCGACCGGCACAGAGCGGGAGAGCACAGAGCGGATCGATGGACCGGGGCGGTCGCCTACTCCCTCCATCGCGCCTGCAGAGGGTGCTTCGACCGCTCCATCTGCGGTGCCTTCGGCAGTACCGTCAGATGACAGACGACAGGTGACTATACAGGATGGCCAAGGAGATGGGATGTGTTTCGTGGAGGGTGATGGACGTCGTGTCTCTCATCACCGCGGCCCTTCGCACCATCGAGGGCCTTCGCATCATCGCGGGGCGTCGCATCACCGTGGTGCTTCGCATCGGCGCGTGACAAGTAAGGGGTTGGAGGGTGTGCGGAAGGAGCAGGCGCCCAGTAAGGAGCGACTAGGAAGTAAGGACCGGCCGGCGGTTGGTGGTTTTGGTGCAGCCATGGCGGGTGTGTTCGCCGCCATCAATGCCAAGGGCGGGGGTGGCGGTGTGGCAAAGGGCTGGAAACGAAGGACCCCAGCCGCCGCGCCTGTGGATGTAAGCCGTATTGACCCCATCTTCGGCCCCTGCCCACCGGAGGACCTGGTCCCCAAAAAGCTCAACTGGATGGTGCTCAAGCCCGACGCAGTCCAGAAGACCGTCTGGGCCAACGTACTTAGGGAGGACACGGTTCTACCCCCCGCCAGACACCCAGACAACGGGCCCCGACTCGACGTGGCGGAGGGCCCCAAGGTCGGATTCAAAAACGCTGCACCAGGTCAGAGTGGGTTGACACCCACTGGAGCCACACTCGCCCGCACGAATAGTGTGTGCATTCTCGCCGAGTCAGGTACTGATGCGGTGGAGGTTGTGCCTTGTCGGGTCGACCCCGATTACCAGTTGCTGCAGAAACTATTCTTTGCGGACAAGGAGGCACTTAAGAATCAACCGTCTTTCGAGTCAAAAAAATTGGTAAAGAGGAAAGGTGTTCTGGACACGCGCCGTATCCACAACATGGAGATCTCGCTCAAGGGTCTTGGTATCTATGACAACAAGACGCTGCTCGTGCGAGCCGTGCTCGACATGAACACTCCAGAGACATATCGGATAGCCAAGGAGTACAAGCAAAGACGCCTGCAACTCGAGTTGGAGAAAAAGGCCGAGAACAAGGGTACCGAGAACAAGGAAACCGAGAGCAAGGGTACCGAGAACGAGGGTACCGAGAACACGGAAGCCGAGAACAAGGGTACCATCGATGATGGTACCGTGGGTGATGGCGTCCAGAGCGGGATGGCACAGGAAGACGGTACTGAGAGTCCGGGTGAGTCTTGCGCTGATGTGTCTGGTGCATCTTCGAGCGACGTCTTGAAGTTGCTGGACTTACCGGATATTCCGACTCCGCGAGACGGGTATCAGTTTACTAGTGAGGCGTTAGCGGTGTTGGCGACGTTAGCGCCAAGTAAGGACGAGATTGAGACGTTGCGAGCTGCAAGTAAGGACGACTTGACGGTGAGTGAGCAGCATTTGTTGGAGTGGTCTACTGTGTCGCGTTTTGCGGAGAAGTTGGAATGTTTAGCGGGAGTGATATCGTACCGTGAGACATTTGAAAGGTTTAACAAGTTGGCCCATTCTCTGAAACGGGTTGTGACAAATTGTTTAAAAGAGATTTTGGAGAGGAATGCGTTTAAGACATTGTTGGCATTACTGCTTAAATGTGGTAATTATTTGAACTATCGAACTTCTAAACGTGCCCTTGGGGTTGCTTACACATCACTCGACCTCTTCCGACGGACCACAGCCTATGCCCTGGACGCAAATGGCGCCGTCACGAGCGGCGCCAGCGGCAAATCTTTACTTATGTATGTCGCCGGAGTGATCGAACGAGATAGCCCTATTCTGTGGCTGCCGCTAGAAGAAGCTTTCAGCCACTGTCTAGAGATATGTAATTTGAGTTTGAAAGAACTCCACAACTGTTTATACCAATTGGAAACACAGGTCAAAAAAATTCGTGTGGAAGTCACCGAACACATCGACCAACATCATGATCTATTTGTAACCATCATGACCATCTTCGTCGAACTCGCTGTCAGCGAACTTAACCAATATCACGATCTTATCACCTCTCTTGAACCAGATCTTCTCAAGCTCGCACGGCTTTTCCAACCGAATGTTACTGATGCTGAACAAGGATTTGAAATATTAAGGTTTCTAGGCAAGTTCTATAAAGACCTCGCCACCTGCCGAGATCATGAAAAAGAAGAAATGGTACCTCACGACGATTCCCCACCCCCCCCCCCCCCCCTACACCCTCTCTCTCCCTTTTTGGCCCTTCCACACATTCCATCCACCCCCCCCCTCCCCCACACGCTCTTCTCACCACCCGATATATTCGTCGATACGCTCACCTGACAGATGAAGGCACGATTGCGAGCGTTACGGAAAGGTTCCATTAGACCAGCGTAATGATTTTTTAATCAGATGATTAATCAGATTATTTCATCACGGCTAGCTACTATTGATCTATATACGGCTGGGCTAATGTGTGCTGAAGAAACACATGTCTGTGGGTGCGGCGTGGTGTGTGTGCTTACTGGCTTTCTTTCTGATCCGGTCGCTGTCGGTCTCGATTAAAGCGAAGGGGACTAGGGCTTCTAGGAGTGTTAGTGCCTTGGTGACCTTGGGGTCAAGTTTGATGTCAGGGTTGATAGTTTCATCAACGCGGAGGCCGGCGTCTTCGGCGCGGAGGCCGGCGTCTTCGGCGCGGAGGCCGGCGTCTTCGGCGAGATGTAGGATGTAGTCTCTGACGCGGAGTTGTAGTTCATTTCTTTCGGCCATCATGGCCGCACCTGCCTCGGTAGCGGAGGTTTCGGTGAGGCACATTGCGTAGTAGCATTTGACTTGTTTGACGAGGTGGGAGGTACGTAGGGTGAGTCTAAGGCCGTAGTAGACTGCGAAGCTGCATAATGCGAAGAAGCTGGCTAGGTTGAAGGCGAATTGAAGCAATGTACGACTAAGGGCAAGCGCAAGAAGCAGCGAGATTAACAGGATCATGGCCGGCACAACAGTGAAGAACATTTGTATTTTGTAAGACGCGACCACGTCCACGCCGCTGAGCTTCACGGAGCTGCTGCGGGTGGCTTTTACGCGATATTTGGCGGCCGCATGGTTGATGCAAAGTCGGACGGGCAGGGCGCACAGAAGCGCGGGTGCGGCAACGAATGTCAAAAGCAGCAAGTGAGCCAACTTGACAAACAGAAGCAGCCAAACGGGGGAACACCAACTCTCCACTGACCACGCGTCTTCGCCAGCCAACCAAGCACGCGGACCGCCGCGCCACACGTGCGTGTGGTCGGCCACGTTGTATCGGACCATCTCCTGCACGTCCGTGTCCGAGAAGCCGAACGCTTCCAGGTTCTTTGTATAGTCGTGCGCAAGCTCCTGGATCGGCGCAGGCAGTCCAAGCACGTGAAAAACCGTCGCAAACAGCGTTTGCAGTCGGTGCCGCACCTCCGGCGTCGCACGCAAGCGCAACGGCAAGTACACGTCCGCGCAACGCTGTACAGTCTTCAACACACGGTAACTATCCGCCGTCACTGTGCAGCTCTTCATGCCCTCGCGGATGCTGTCCATCAACTCCGACACCGCCTCGCGCTTCAGCTCGCGATGATCCACACCCGCCGCTCGCAACTCCTCCGCGGCAGTGACTCCCACGGCCCCAGGCCTGTGTTCATCCTGTCCCAAATAACCTGGCAAGCTGTGCTCCAGCGGATCATGTTCCAGAGTGCTGTGTTCCAGAGTACTCTGTTCCAGAGTACTCAGTTCCTGTGCCAGATGAAACTTACGAGCGACCTTGGGTGAGACCAGGAGCGGGCGGCCGATTTCGATCACGGCGTCACTGCCAAGCTTTCGTCGGTCGAAGTAATGTAGCCCTACCGGCACAATCATCACGTCCCGAACTCCCAACTCGTACGCGTTTAGGGCCATGATCGCCACACCTGGCTTTAACGGCAACAGGTCCGGCTGGTCGTGACTTCCGCCTTCCGGGAAAATGCAAATGCTCGACCCCTCATACAACGCCGTAGATACCGACTCGAACACCATTCCCTGGTCCACGCGGGGTAAAATCGTGAAGCAACTTCCCTTCTGCTGATCAGCCGCCGACACCTCATGTGGCCGCTCCTTGCTTGATGAAGACTCCTTACTAACTATCGACGGGGCCGGCACCGCCGAGTCCGCAACGCCTTGGTCATGGGGCTCTATCATTACGTCTTGCCCCACTATTTCGTCTTCTCCTGGGTTTCTTGGCCTCATGTCTCTCTGCTTGAGCGAAGATTCGCTCTCGCGGGAGGTGGGTGCAGGTGGCGGGGGTGTGTGTTGCAGGTGCAAGCTGAGCGACTTGAATGGTTTGTTTTTCTTCCCCGATTGTCGTTTCCGTGCTTGGGAACTTTCACCCGCGGAGTGGCTGGTTGCCGCCGGGTCGCCCTGGGACCCGGCGTTCTGGAACTCGGCTCGTGTGTGCTCCCCAGGCGCCGTGACGGGAGCCCAGCTCTGGTTTTTGCGGAGTTTCGGTTCACCCGGACTGCGGGCGTGGTGATCTGGTGAGGCGACCACGGGCACGCCTTCGACGCTGCTGAGTCCGCGCTCCATGGCTGGACCGACACGTTGAGTCGGTGCCCGCCTCTCCACCGATGCCAGCAGGTAGTGGTCATCGATTATCTCTGTTACAACAAACGTACAACACACTTTCACCTCCGCTGACTCCGACCGGGGACTTGAGTGGGACAGATCAGCAGTCAACTCCTCCCCCGACCGGTCCGCTGCCAGATCACACGGTCGCTGGACTTGCCCGTCTTCAACAAATAGGCCGCTGCACTTCACGTAACCGTCGACCTTGATTTTGAAACCCGGCTTTAACTCCAGCGGGAAACGCGTGAAGGGATTGCCCACCACCAGGACCTCCTCGGAGCCCAGGTCCACGGACCGCCGCCTCGACTCCAGATCGCCTTTGGTCTCCAGATCGCCCTCGGTCTTCATATCGCCCTTGGTCTTCAGATCGCCTTTGGTCTTCAGATCGTCTTTGGTCTTCAGATCGAATTCCATGGCCGGAGCAAAAGGCACAGGAGTGTCCGAAGGGGACGGTGTCTCCGCGAACACCTGACCACGCGCCCGCTTTTCGGTGTTCAACGGCGTCTTCCCGTCTGATTCACCCGCACTGTCCCATCCCTCAGATTTCGACGGGCCATCTCGGACTGGGTCTAGCTGTTTTCCGGCATGGTCTCGGTTCATCTGGTGATTTCCAGGCATCTCTGCTTCAGAGCCATCGGGGGATCGGGACCCTCTGGGAGAATGGTTCCAGCCGCCGGGAGTGCCATTTTGAATGGACTCGATTCGCCTCATCACATTCGTCTTTAGATCGCTCACCAGCTGCTTTTCCCGGCTTGCATCACAAATCCTCACGATCTTACCCATGGCTGTGAACTTCTGATCTTGCGGTCGATCCACCCCAATACTCCCTAATAGGCGAGCACAAGCACCGAAATAAGGGACTTTAAGCGACTACAATAGTCAATACTCACAACCATGGCGAATACGGGTCTGTTCGTGAAAGTGGGCCACCCCGTCGTGTGTGGGCTACCCAGGTGGTCCACACCCGTAATAGTTACACTTACAACAGCTGCAATCAGGAACCGAATATGTCTCGGTATGTAGGCCATAAGAAGCTAAAAGGTTAAAAGGTAGGTCGAAACATCACTTACAATCGCATCAACAAATTTGTTATTGTGGTTCCCTACAAAGATAACCGGCCCTTCTTCAGGTATGCGTTCGATTCCAATCACCTGCACTTCTCCAAAATAGCTTGCAGCAACCACTCTGTCGGGGGATATAAACTGATAGGCTAAACCAACTAGCGAGCATGCGGACGTGTAGTTTGTCCCATGGCACAGTGGGAGGGAGGGGAGGGTCAATACGCGTGGCGGTTGTGGCAAAGGGGATAAGAGGGCGACTACTTGGCAAGTGCCTTGATGATTGGGTGCATGTACCATCCCCGACGGAACCCTGATGATTTCCTTGATGGCCAGTGACCCTCAGGCATTTGCATTATAGAAATGGTAGAGTTGCGAAATCGATCGGTAGGTGGTCCTGTACCGTTGTACATGTTCGTGTTGATCGAAGACCGAGTCTTTATGCGTACTCCTCGCCGTACTGGGTGTTTCCGTTGCTGCAAACCTTCGTTCGTTTTAGTCATTGAAACGGGGTCGAGTTGAGGACCAGTGGCCAGGTGAGCTCTCGTCGCCTTCGGAGACCGAGGATGATGGTTCTTCGGTGGTTTCAGAAGCGATAGAGGTGTCGGAAGAGGAAGAGGCGCCACAGCCTCGGCGACGGAAACAGAGGAGCAATCCCCCCATGAGTGTCGGGATTTCGCCGTTGATGGCACTGTTGGAGCGGGAATGTTCTGAAGGGGAGCTTGGTGCTTTATCGGAGGGTGAGACGCTGAACTTGCTATTTGAATTGAGTGGTTATCCCCATGACCTGTATAGTGAGCAGGACTATAAGCAAGTTCAAAATGAAGACGAACGAATCGCTCTTGTGGATGGAGCCCTCGATCGCACAGGCCAGGAGGTCGGCGCGTTGTCTCCTCTGATGAGCGGGCTACTGTGCATCATGCGCACGAGTTTGCTGGAACGTAAGGCAAAGGCCTGTTATACAAAAGTCATGGACATTGTGCGAGATAGCTTACCTAACTATGTGCCGAGGTTCAAGGAACTTACCTCTGTTGTCCAAGCTAACGGAGTTGGTGGGAACACCGTGAGCACGGGAGCGGGTGATTCCTTATCTGCCGAAATCGGGGAGACTTTAATCACCGGACCCGCGAGATTGATGGACCTGGTTCTTAGACTAGATAAACCTCTGTCAGACATGCTATTGGTAACCAAGAATACGATCTTGGTTAAGGAACATAAAATGCTGGTTAGTAATCTACCACTACTTGTGGCTAAACAACTTCGAGGAGACTATGTTGGTCTAAGACAGGCGGAAACCTTTGTAAACTTCGTTAGCAGCTGGCTTGTATTGTTCTCTACAAGCAATATTCGCATTCTTAGAACCACCGGTGTCTTCATTATAGCCCTTGTAGTAGATGAGCTTCTCGCTCGAGTTGTAGAGACATTAGAATCCATTCCGGAAACCGCTGGAATTCAATCAAACGCCGATCAACCATATACCAACAGTCAAACTGAGGTCCATGTCGCCCTACTCGCTGGAGCTGAAGTGCTGCTCCAGTCTTTAAAGGATTTTCTCCTAACAACCGTCAAGGACCGAGTTAATGACGTATATCCTGTCGTCGCTGTCCTTTCACTTCTCACGATGAAAAAGTGTGTTACTACGTTTGATGCCAACATGGAACTTTATTCTACGCTCATTCAAATGGCTCACATTGGACTCAGACATCCTTCCGCACTCGTTAGACTTACGGCATTGGATGTCGCAAATGATGTCCTCAAACATTTACTTTCTCGACGGAAAGTGTATATCAAACCTCACTTAGCCACGGCAAGCGTATCTACGAAGTCTAGCTCAGCCGGGAGAAAAAGTGGACGTCAGGTATCATTGGCCGAAGATTACTCAAATGTGGTTGATTATGTGGGATATACCACCGATGATGTTCAGAGGTATATTAGCGTTATTATTACCTCGCTATTAAGCCTAGGTATCAAGCATGCGCGTGATTGTAGTTTATTAGTTAGTTTTAGCGCGCTTGAATTCTTAGAAACGTGTGTGCGCGCATCTGGAGAAACGTGTGTGCGCGCGTCTAAAAACGAGATATTATATGAAATGAAAGATCCACAAGTAACAGGAATAGCAGCATTGCTTTTCGCTGATAACCATTTACCTGTATTACCGGTAGTGGCTCAATTAGTGGATGGCTTAGTGTTCGCTAGCAGTATCGTCCATACTGCTGAACAGAATTCTGAAGTAATATATTCTACTCTGGTTCAGTTTCTAACAGATTATGCAGATGACCCGGAATGGATCCCATATCATAGCAATGTTCTAAAGGCTTTTCTGCCCTTATCTCCCTATTGTCGAGATCTTGAAAGTTTATGGAATTTTCTTCGAAGTGTATATCGGCCAACTGCTTTGGATATAACTGAGCAACGAGAATGGCTAAATGATGTGAAGGCGTGTCGCAGTCTTTTATTTATCACTCATTGCATGTGGAAGAATATATGGACATATGTTCTTAATCAAAAATATAGTGCAGCAGCTAGTCAACAGAATGCCAGTCGGCGGGAACGACACTGGAAGGGGCCAATTGTCCCGTGTATCTTTGGGAGCATAAGCGAGGATCTTATGATTGATGAGATGCCGGCATTGGCTACGGTGGTAGAGAACCACAGCCGCCATATTGGATTGGATCCTAACAATCCGATGGATTTGAAACTTATAGATTTCTTGGAGCGGTCTGTCCAAGATTTTCCGAATATTCTTTCTAGGGCTCGTGCTGATAGAGAGCAGACAATTCTAGCCTTGAGTCTGCTTTATGAGTTTATAGGAGCCATGAGATGCTCTGAAGAGTCCATGTCAATTACGAGCATTCAGTTTGAGCCCATAGTCAGAGAGCTCGTCGGTCGATTGGATGCTGTGAGTGAGCCTAGCATCAAACACTCCATTCTTGCTTGCCTTAAAGCAATGAATGAACTGTCCGGTTCTATATTATCTAAGTCTAGTCGCGTCTCATCTACTGCGGCGGTCTATGATGGAATTTTGGATGATAGATTTGGCAAGTTGATAAAGGAGACTCAAGGTATCATAAAGGAGTTAGGTAACAGTAAAAATGCACCAGTGAATCAGAGTCCTATCAGCCGGAGTACGGGAGTTCAAGATGAGTATAATTGGTCTCATGCGAGTCTTAGTCTCCTGGATACATTGCGACAAAGTTTTGTGAATCTGCGGGTGTTTATGTACAACGACACCAAGGACCGAATGAATGATAACTTGGACATACTGGATGAGATCCTGAATATGTTGGAATCTGTAAGTTCGTCTAAAACAGGGTTACCGTGGGATCATCAGGTCTATGTCAATGGACTAGACGTTGTTTGGCTGTCTCAAGCTAAGTTGCTGCAGAGGATCACCCGACAGCATGAGGTCAACGTTTCTCCGTACATAGAACAGTACGACCTATCGGTGGCTGGTACGCCTTTCTCAAGTGCACACACGATTAGTGGAGGCCTTTCCCTAGCTACCGGCCCGAACGGAATTATTCATATCACAAACACGAAGACACAAAAGAATACACAATCGAACACGCAAACGATTGCGCAACATGACGGTGGCAATGACCAGGTCGGGGGTAACGGGGTCTCTGGCATGATGGGTGGGAGTGTTATGCCGTTTGGTGAGTTTAATCAATGCCGATTGAGTGCTGAGAAAATATTGCGACCATTGTTACCCAAGCTTGGTACCCTGAAGGAAGATCTGGAGATTTACAAGGAGCTGAGTCTACAGCTGTCTTGCTATTTGGCTCAATATTCGGAGAAGTGTCGGAAATTCGTTCTAGGAGCCCGAAACTCAGAAACGCAAACAGCTAGCTGCGTTGGTGCCTTGATTGCGGCCTTTCAATGTTGCCGTCTACTGGTCGCTAATTCCCTCTTCCAAGCAGCCACTGGACTCTGGTCAAAGTTGCGAGTATCGATGAATAAGTTGAGAAATGGACGGTATCTATTAGGCACTCTGGCCCCCACACATGAGTTCGGGACTGCCGCTGAAGATGTCACAGCGCTAGCAGAAGAAATCGAGACTCTACGAGGCACTATCAGTCGGCTAGCTTTAGCATGCCACGTGCCACCGAAAAGCGAAATAACGCTGGAAATCGCCTACTTCATCGACAGTCTGAAACAGATTTATGCAAGGAAACGCCGAGAGCTGGAAGCCGCCTTCGATGGACAACTCGCGTACGGATTCCTGGACCAATTCATGGGCAGCCACAATAACCAAGCCCTCACAGGTCCCGTCGAAGTCTGGGACGTGTACAAGAACTTGCTTACGGCCGGCCAGGTGGAAAAATACTGCGCCTCTCTCGAACTGGAACAGATTGCGTTCAATGCTCAAGTTCAAATAACCGCTGCCATCTCTCAAATACCCGACCGCCACCTCTGGCGAGAAAGCAGCGTCGGTCCAGTCATATTATCATACGTAAGCTGCTCCCCGATGCGTGCTTCCCCTCGATGCTTCTCCCCGATGCATTTTTCCCCCTTCGTTCATCACTCCGTTCGTGGTTTTTTGACACTCTCTTTTTCCCTCAGTTCCGAAGTAGGTCTGGCCTATTACGCGTGTTGGCGGACCGTTTTATGAAGCGATGCATGGAGTACGACAGCGTGGCTGCTGGGCACGTGGAGGATATAACCGACCGCCCGTTGTTGATGTCGCTGATATTAAGTACATTGCAGACCTTGATCCGTCGCGCGCCAGATAACCTGGACGACGTAAAGGCCCTCGCAGGCGAAGTGGCTGCACACATCCCCAAGACGTACTGGAAAGGTCTGTCTGACCTGCTCTTTATGAACTTTGTCTGGATGGCAATTCAGAGAGCCCACGACGACCCGAAAGGCCAGCTCTTGAGCGTTCTGGTGGACGGACTTTTCCACGGCCGGTCGCTGAATAAGCGGTGGACCAAACATGTGGCCGCTAACCAGCTCCACTCCCTCAAGCTGCTTGAGAGAGAGTGGCAGGACTCTAACAAGGCGGAGGTCCACCCGTTGTTCTTCACTCACCTCGCACACTTCCTCCGCGTTTGTGTGCCCAACATGACTGAGAACATACTGGACGACTGGCCTCCAAGAACTTGAGTAGGCGTTGGAAGTACTGCGGACCCGTGGAAGTACTGCGGACCCGTGGAAGTACTGCGGACCCGTGGAGGTACTGCGGACCCGTGGAAGTACTGCGGACCCGTGGAAGTACTGCGGACCCGTTTGGCATGGTTACACAGAGATGCATGCCTAGTGGGAAACGCACGGATTAAGTAGGTGACTTTTGTTCATATATTCTTTCAAAAAGCTAGTCCATTCGAGACTCTATATGACGCGTGATTACACGGTCTTTGGTGCTACAATAAAAGGTGACGGATAGTGCTGTTGTGTGTGGTACTATTGTGGAGTGGGCACGCGCTGGAAGCTTGTGTTTTTGATGAGTGTGCGGGTGGTTGATTTGCAGGGTGTGGAGGCTTACACGACATGTACGACAGCGCCCCAGCCGGAGTAGCAGTCCCTTTCAACGCCGGCTAGAAGGCAGGTGGCCGCGCATTCTGCTAGTTCTTCGGGCTTGAGGTTCGGTCTCCAGTGCGCTTCACAGGCACCCATGATTTGCTCGGTGGCGGTTCCAACCACCCCGAAGTCCTCGATGTTCTCCAGACCGCCAATGAAGTCAAAAGACTCCGCGTATGGCTCGCCTGTTTCGGCGTCTACACCGGCCACAATGGGGCTGGCGAACCAGGGCGAAAATCGGCGTTGGTACAACTGGTTGCCAACGAAGCTTGCGACTGCTCGGGGCTTCATCTCCCTTTCTTCGCGCAAGTGGAACAAGTTCTTATGGAATCTTATGGTCTTGTAGAGTGTCTCAACGTCCGTAGCTAGGCCGCAACATGCAAGATAGGTATGTGGTGTTATTTCGAAACACTTTTCGTAGTTCATTTCAACCGTCTTCAACGAGTTGCTTCCAATCCTCTTGTCCGACGCCACACAAATACACCCGTCACCGAGCATCGCCAAAGCAGCTCCACCGTTATAGTCGTCTATACCCATGTTGGCAAATTTATTCTGTAAAACAATTAACTACCCACTGATCACCCCCTTTCATGTAGTTACTGTGCCGTCGTCAATCCAACGGCGTCGACCCGGTCGTCTCATCCACGACACGGCATCTTGAAGCCCGCAGACTCAATACCTGGCTACCCTTTCCCCCAGCCAAACTAGAATTACAGCAAACCCCCCTGGAATCCTAAACTAGACACCATAACCGGACACCCAATTACGGACATCCTGCCTTGCGCCGCGCCTGCTCGATTTCGGTCGCATTACATCACAAGCCTCGAGTAGCGCCAAACCTCTAACGCCCCACTGGAGGGATAAGCACCAATCCGCAGCGCATGCAGCATGACGCCACGCTAGACACATAAAACCCGGCCAATCGCATTCAGTTTAGCGCCGCAAGCGTGTTTGCAAACGTGTGCGCAAAGATTGTCGCGCACTCAATAAATCACCGCGCTGTCCATAAACAGAATGCTCGATTTTTGGTTATCTTTTCGACCTCAGCGGGGGTGCTCTAGACAGCCTGTAGTGCGGGGCTGCTCTGGATGACTCTGGATGTGGGTTGACCTGAAATATGGTTGGCCTTGTATATCTAGTGATCATAATAGAGTTCGGACGCACTCCAACGTAGTAAGTACGTCAATGGGAGCCAGCTCTGTAGAGCCGGTCGTGTACAGCAAGTTCGTGCCGCCTGACAGTCAGTGAGGCTATACGTCGATTTTTAACTTGTCCGGAATGTCCACGTGGGCAACGACATCCTGAAATTCGGCAAAGGAAATAAGCCCGTCTCCGTCACGGTCTGCCTGTAGCATTGTCCGGTCGACTAACTGTTGGAGTTGCTGGTCGGTTAGATTGTTCCCGACCATTGTCTTCATAACGGTAAAGAGCTCTCCATTGGAGATATATCCGTCTTTGGTGACGTCATAAATATCAAAAGCGAATTTCGTCTTTTGGTACTCATCAGTCCCGGTAGTGAGCTTTGCCAGACCGACCATGAATTCTGTAAAGGAAACCTTGCCATCACCGTTAGTATCAAATACCGAAATCACTCTCTTGACAAGCGGATTCTGCAGCGCATCTCATCACAGAAAAAAAGACAATCAACTTACGTCAGCTATCTCAGGAACATCAAAGAGCTCATGAGGATCTAACTCTCCATTATTATTCGTATCCAGAGCCTTGAATCTGAAACATAGAGCTTTATAACATGAAGGTCAAGGCACCAAGTTAACGGAACAGCCAGTTAAGGCATCAAACAAGTTAACGATGCATGCATGGTCTTACCTCCGATAAATTCGCCTGATGTCTTTTTCTGTAAACTTTGCTGATTGCAAGAGCGCCTTTTGCTCTGCTGGCGTGAGCTGTCCTTGTGCGTTACTACGAGACGTACGTTGTTACCTTTTAGACGGCTTACCCCATATAGTATTTTTATTGTTCCTCCTCTAGTCAAAAAAGAGGACTATGAAAGAGGGCTGTCTGTGGGGAATAAACATGCTCATGACATTGACCACTTGATCAACATCCTTGTTATTGGTCTGACTACTGTAGTTGGTAGACTTACTACAGTAGTCACTTAGACCAATGGCACTACCCAAGTGACCAGTCAAATACACATCTTCGTTCATGGCCGCATGATCCCAGGTATATTTGGCGCAAAGGCACATGGCGGCCAGGGATATATTGGTCATGATCTCTTCTTCTGTGGTCCCTTCTGGGGAAACGGTTAGTGTATGGACGTCAGGATGGAGACTGACTGTTCGGAAGCAGACTTGTCCGAAGGGCTGGTTCATTGGCGGAGTGCAGGCGGTAGAGCGAATGTCTTGGCCTGGAAAATGGCGACGTTGTCGAAGGCGGCTAGAGGGGTCTTGTTTATTTCAATGGGCTTTCCGGATTTCTTTGTGCTGCCGTCGGCTGACATCTGGCCGTAATAGTACTTGCCCTTATCCTTGACTACTGGCGTACCGGCCAGAGTATAGACATCGCTGAAGCTAATGTCGTTCAGAGACTTGACCCCCGCCAGAGTGGTTACACCGGGCACTTCCACTACCGCATCCAGAAGCATCGAGTACCTATCATTCGGGCTGCTCTGCAACTTATTGTACAAATCCTTGTGTGATTTCCACGCGTCATTACTAGGCAATATCACCACCACATGCCGACTCCCCAGACCCGACATCAACTGACTCACATCACCAACCAACGCCATCGTCTTGGACAAAGAACTCGGGTACTGGCCACCGATCCAACTCTCAATCGTCTGTCCGATAGCACCCCAGACGCACAAAGCCAACTTGAACCAGCTATTCATCCGAACAGTCAAGCAAAAACAAACACTGCACCCCTCGGCCGGGTGGTCATTTTAACGGTCTGGGTGGTCGTTTTACCGGTCTGGGGGGTGGTCGGCACTCCGGTCCAACGCAACTATTTCGATTGGTCCGTAAGGAGTGTGCTGGGTCACGTGAATGCGGCCGCTGGCACTCGCCGCCAAAACGTAGTAAAGGGTCATGGCGGCCTGCATCCGGGTCAGTCCCTTTGCCAGGTCCGAGTACCGTAAGCACGGCTTCCTCCTCAGTCGCTTCCGGACTCGTCGCGGCATTCGTCGCCACAATCGCACATCCACTTCCTCCCCCTCCTCGGGCTCTTCGTCCGAGCAACCCGAAGACACGTCCGTACTAGACAGCGCCTCCTCGTCCACAGGCACCTCCAGCAGCGCCGCGGATTCAGGCTTCGCCCCAGTAACATTGGGCATCAGACCGTCCAGGGTATCTTCGTCTTGCAGCACTGACGCGGATCTCCCCTCCTCAGTCTCCACCACCGGCGCGGATCGGGTCTCCTCAGTCTCAACCACCGGCGCGGGTCTGGTCTCCTCAGTCTCCACCACTGACTCAGCCCCTACCACCGGTTCGATCTCCACTACAACTTCGGCCTCATCCTGCTCGGTCATGGTTACGTCAGGGGGCAAGCCGACACAGGCATTGCCCTCCTCTTCAAGAGTCCCTTCACCATGAATAACATCGCCCTGAGCCGAATCCCTGGACTCGTCCTCCCCTCCTCCAAGACGGGTAACAGCGCTTCCCTCCTCGGACCGGACTTCGGATCCAGCGGTAGGGGGGTCCCACACTCCGGGAGGCGTGTCCCAGACTCCGGGAGATGTCTGTAGACTGTTGAATCGGCGTCGCTTTGACTCGGGCAACGCTTCCTCCGTCGCCTTCGCCATCCCTTCCTGCATTCCCTCCTCAGTTGCCTCGTGCACAGCCTTTTCAACCGACTTGCCGAAGTGCCCCACTCTGTTCCCCGCCCCGTCTAAGTTCCACGCGTTCCGTTGATGTCCCTTGATGAAGTCGTACAACGTGCAAACTCCCGGAACCCCCATCACGGCGTGCCAGTTGGCGGATACGACCATTCTCAGTCGTGGCTGCACGGGTCCTTTGTTCCAAATTGAAAAAGGGATGCCCTCATCGTCTCCTGCCATAGACTTAAGACTATGCACATCCAGAGGACACCTCCGGATTGTCTCATCCTCGCTCCAAAGCACCACGTCGATAGCAGCGTCAGGCGCCACGTGTCGTGGCTTCTTCTTCCTGGTCGTCGTTCCCAGTCTCCGGCGACTCCGACTCACACTGGCCGGGTGCGGTACGTCACTGTCCTTGTCGCTATCCACAGCGACTGCCACATCGTCGTGTCCTACAACCTTCGGTCGTCGTCGGTCCCGCAACCGCTCGTACATTGTGAGTCGCACTGGCTCCGATGCCTCTTCCAGAAAACGCTGGTTCTCATCCAACTCATCCAATTCCAACTCTCTCACCGTCGACTGAGGGCCACCTCCACAGTCACCTACCGAGTCCGCCGACGCGCCAATCGCTCTCAACCCACTACCCGCAGTCGTCGGATTCGTCAACTCATCCACCAAGCGCGGGCTCGAAACAAACTCGCGGTCCTTTCCTATCGGTGTACGGATCTGCCCCATCGATTCCTTTCGGCCCGCCTGTCCTGACTCTGTGGGTCCTGACTCTGACGGTTCTGGGTCCGTGTGGTCGGGTACTACAGCATCCACGGCATTCTCACCCCCAGCGACCACGTTCTGGACCGCATTCTGGGCCGCGTCCGCGATCACGTCCGGGATCACGTTCTGGCTCCCAGCATTCTTGTTCTGGTTGCCAGCAGTCTCGTTCTCTGCCGCTGGTAGGTTGTCGGTCTCGGGAGGAGGTGCAGGGAGGGTGAGTGGTGTTAAGATTTCGACAATGGGTATTCCGGAGTCCTGTCCTGGTACCCCCTGTGTGGCATTTTTGATCCGGTTAACTTCTGCAACAATATCTTGAATGGAGACAGGTCCCCGACTTGGGTCGCCGAGACCGGGCATGTTCCCGGGAGTCAGCATTCCGGGCGACAGAATACCCGGAGACAGTAGTTCTAGAGACGAGGCCGGAAACAAATCTGGAGATGGTGTACCTCGTCCTAACACCGTTCCATTTGGAGACGGTACGGGAAGGACGTGGGGCGAGCCAACCGGGGACTCCATGGGAGTGGCGAACGGGGTGCTTTTGGAGGTGGACTGCCCAGTATAGCTAGAGGAACTGCCTATAGTGTGGTTCGGACTAAGGGCTGCCTCGAAGGCCATGATGACGTCTTCGTCGTCGATCAAGACCACAGGGGCCGCAGGGTCGATTCCGAGAAGGCTCAGGACGTCAGTGGTGCTGAGACCCGCCATGATGGCCTGGATGGACTGTTGGATGTTGGCCGCACTGAACACCTGGGCACCTGACATCTCGGCACCTAACAGTCGTGCGTTCGAATCTCCCCCCTGCTCGGTATCCACTCCGGCATCCATACCGGCAACGTGTCTCGGCACTCGGTGGTGGCGGGACCTCATTCGGATTGATGCGGACTGCGCCCCCGCCAACCGTTTGGCTGTCTTGATCACGGCCGAGGTGATGGTCGTCGGCACCACCAGCCCGGCCCCGTGACTCCGATGCGACCTACTCCTAGCCCTGGCGGCGGGCGGTCCCTCTTCGTCGTCCCCATGCGACCGAATTTTCTCTTTGAGCGACTCCACGTCGTCGATGAAGCCGGCCACCTGCTTCTTGATTGCGCGTGTGAGTGTTGCAATTACTACCGCACTTTCACGCATCGTCACGCTCTCCGGATGCTCACGAATTCGAATGTGGAATTGACGCAACTCGTCCCGGATATCCACCGACCCCAGGGCCTGGACTTTGTGAACCAACTCGTTCAACCATGCAATGAAAGACCCCGCCGTCGTCACCTCCCGACTCGTCCTCCGACCGTCCAACACCTCCTGCATCAACTCGTCCTCTTCAGGCACCGCAACACCACGACCTACACTGCGACCAGCCACAGAACTGGAAGACCCTTGACGCACTCCCTTACCAGGACGCTTCATTCGTTTAAGGTGCAAAAAATAGCCACCCTAATCCAGACCTCCGCCCTTGATTCTTCATCCAACCTTACGTCACCCACTCCTATATATAAACCGGTGCCTTGGGTCTATACCGGTGCCTTGGGTCTATACCGGTGCCTTGGGTCTATACCGGTGCCTTGGGTCTCAACCTGCCTCAGGTCTCGACCTGCGCTTGACCCGCACTTCACCTGCGCTTGACCCGCGCTTCAGACCTAGATCTCGCCCTCTATGCTTTAGGTCTCAATCTCCAGGCGACCATCGTTACATTGAACCTCGAGTCTTGTCCCAGGTCCCGCCCGGTACGACGACTTGCAGGCGATCCCTTAGACTTGGAGGTGGTGATGACTTAGACAATGCCAGCAAATAATTTACCGGCCTCCTCCAGCTTGGTGGTGTCGACTGGCGCTCTTTCTACTTTGGTCTTGCGGTCCATTCGTGGTGGTTGCGGGACTTTTGTGTGCTCCCTTTTCCTTGCGAAGTTAAAGCCGATGTCCGGTTCGTTCGATCCGTCGCCATTTTGGTTCTGAGCGAGAGTATCCCCGGAGGGTCTGTAGGTGGTCGGAGTGCCTTGGTTTATCACTGCGATGGGTCCCATGTGTTCGTTGGCTCCCGTGCGTTCGTTGGCTCTTTCGTTCACCGTTTCAGTCGTTCGTTGGCTGCGTTCCTCTGGACCCGCCCTTTCGCTTGTGTGTTTCTCGATGGCTTTGAGGCCGTTGATGGTCCATCGGGAGCCGACGGAGCGTACGGCAAAGTCCGCTGCACACTGTTGGGCGGACTGTTGGTTGCGGCGAGCGGCAGAAGCTGCGACGGAGTTGTCTTCGTAGGGGCTATAATGGAGCGTGTTTTCTTCCGCGCTAGTCGGTCCTTGTCTTTGCGTCGCGTAGGCATGGACCAGGTCCTTCATAGCACTCGTCTCCTCCACACCCAGAGTCTTGATGCAGTTCTCAATCGCCTCCATCGTCGTGTAACGTGTCACATCCTCCGTGTAACCGAACACCGGATACAAATTCGCCGCCTTCACTCCCGATCGCGCAGGCAGCCCAGACCCCGACGGCGTAGGACCGGACGTAACCAGAAACTCCTGCACCACGTTGTCCACGTCGACACTCCACGCGTTCGCTTGCAGCCGCGATACCAACGGCGCTACGTTACCCCACCATGCCTCCACCGGTCGCTCCAGCAACGCTACCAATTGAACCAAGCTCTGCACCACGCTCACTCTTTGGTGACTCTTCACTAGCTCTCGATAACAATTCCATAACTTATTCACAATCCGCTCCAACAGTCCTCGCCTACCCCGCACCACCCGGGCACACTTACTCTTTTCCCCTAAACGATTATCCCCCACAGGACTCTTATCTTGCAGATGGTTCTTCTCTCTTACAGGGTTCTCCCCGAGATGATTCTCCCCGAGATGGTTCTCACCGAGATGGTTCTCACCGAGATGGTTCTCACCGGAGCCGTTCTGACTCGGTGCAAACTCGCCAGCCACCCCGGGTGCGGTGCGACCAAGCAGCAACACGTCCACGTCGTCCCCGGAGCAGGGCTTAGCCTCTGCACCCACTGAGGGCTGTTCGATCACGCACGGCTGCCCGGCCATAAGCGGTACGTCGAAGTCCACCTGACGCGGCGCAGGACTAGCGGGACCGGATCCAGGACTCTCGTCTAAATCAGCCAGGACGTTCACCCGTGGCCGCGTAGCCTTCTGCGTCAGCGCCTCGGAGGGCGGGAAGGCAGGTGTGTGCTCCAGCGTCGTGGGAGCCAACGTCGTAGGAGCCGGCGGCGTGGGAGCCAGCGCCGTCCGTACGTCCCATTCTTCTTGTTCCTCAGCGCCGGGAATGGAGATGGGGAACTGGTCGTCGATCGTGTAGGCGCACGTGCACAGGGCCCAGACGCACGCCACCAGCACCTGGCCGTGCTGCCCCTCCACCGTGTCCAGAACTTCCAGCATACACTCCACACACTGCTTCCGGAAGGCGTCATCCACAGCCGAGTCCTGGTCGTCGTTCGCCGGCCCCTCGCCCACTACCGAGACGAACTGCGCACCGCACGACTCGTCGAAGTACCGCGGGTGGCACTTCATCAACCGACACATCGTCAAGATATAGTCGTCCGGCGTCGGAGCGAACCGGTCGATCAACTCGTAACACTTGCGCACCATTTCCTTCCGCAACGACGACTGGTAGTACTTCCTACAGCAAATCAAATTACCCACGGTGTGTGTGTAGCGCGGGGTGTGTAGCGCGGGGTGTGTTAACCCACGTGTGTGTTGCCTACACAGGATGCAGTGGTGGTGAAGGCGTTGGGAGTGGTTGGGTACGTACTCGGCGCTAGCAATGAGTTTGTCGACGACGGCCAAGACGTTGGTGGAGGTCGTGCTTTGGGCCAGAAGTTGAAGTGTCTTGGTGCGTATGGTCTCGTCTAAATCTTCGAGGGAGTCGATGATGGTGAGTTGGTGACCTTGGATGAATGCAGGGTCGATCTCTACAAGTTTGGTCAGTCCGTTGAGTCCGGCGAGCCGTAGATTTCGGTTGTTACTTTCAACAAAGGTACCGATGGCTTGGGCAGCAAGACGGCAGAGATTAGCATGGGGGTAGATTGAGGCGATGGTCAAGATGCATTCGTATTGGACGGCAAAGCTGATATTGTTTTGCGGCTCGGTCAAACACTGCCGCAAGACATCGTAACATTCCTGACTAAGCACCGGATTTTTTTTAACCAAGGCGACCAGCAAGCGCATGATTCGGATCTGCAACCACGGTGCGGGTATGCGGTGATACTCCGCTTGGTCGGACATCCTGCCGTGGATTACATTCTTCAATGTCGCCACCAGTTGAGGCACCAACGCCTTGCTGTGACTAAAATACCGCCGCGCCAACTGCATCTTGGTCCCAGGACCCGCACTACCCATAGCCACATTGCCAACCATGTTGCTGGTTATTGTGGTATTGCTTCCAACAGCACAACTTACTACATCGACTCCAGTGACGGTCGGGTTTGATTCAGCCGGGTTGTGTACAGGTGTATTTTGTGCAGACATAACGTTCGTCAAAGCGCACACTTGCGTCCCAGCTGGTTGCGTCCCAGCCGCTGGCGTCCCAGCCGCTTGCGTCCCAGCCACTAGTTGTATAGAAGAGTCTTGTAGACAAGTGTATAGTTGATTAAGGAAGTTGACAAGACACAGGATGACCGTGGGTTCATTGGACTGGAGAGTTGACCGCACGTAGTCGGGGAGAGAAATTGCATTGACGACTTCTTCCGTTGAATACAAAGGGTGCTTTTGTAATATATGCGTGAGCGCACATAGTGCTTTTTTCCGGATGATATCTCGTGGGTGTTCGATAAGCTTGATTACACTCGGGAGCAAGACTGGAACGGCTTCTGCATGTACTTTGTTAGCGATTATATTTAACGCGGCACATGTCTCGTAGTGATTAGAAGTTTGTAGGTCTTTCTGGATGGTGTTAACAGATAGCAACAACAACTCGGAAGATTCAGGTATGGCCTGACTTGCCATTAAATAACCGGTCCGCTTACACCACAGGTCTTTGTCGCTGGAGAGCGACAGACCCTGGATGACGCAGAACTCGATATCGTGACCTAGCATGAAGCAATATAGAGCGCGAATCACTAGTTCTTTCAACCGCACATTCGTTAATCCAGTAGACTCTCGAAATCGCACCATCAACCGACCAAGCTCGATGTCTAGAAGCAAGTCCTCATCTTGCTTACTCCGCGTCTCTCCAATGGCCTTTATCAAATCGTAAAACTCTTTGGACACTGAAGGACCACTACTGCGCAAAAACATTTCATCCCAACGCATTATAATACCCCAGCCATATACCCAAGGACATGCATGGCCTTATGAGACTGGCCAAAAGGTCTGGGTAAAGGGTCTGGGGACAGGGTCTGGGGACAGGGAGGATCTTAACAGAAGGCGTCAAACCCCGAACCACTTCTGGCGACATTCTGGCAAACGTTTGGTGCAATTGGGAACCGAACCTGGGAAGGTGCGGAACGAACCTGGGAAGGTGCGGAACGAACCGACTGAGTGGGGAGGGTGCGGGTGGGGTTACGTCCTGGGCTCACTAGCGAGGAGTAATGTACGAAAGCATAAGTGCAATATAAAATGGAGGCAGTGCGAAAGCTTCTGGGACGGGGATCGGATGAGGAGGTGTGTCAATATATTCGGAACCATTGGCGACCTCCGTCGTTTAGCACTAGACTAGATCACTCTCGGGCATTCTGTTCAGCTATTCGAGAATTCGCCGCCAATGAAGCAGCACTGGACACATTACTGGGGCTAATTGTGGAAGAAGTGAGGGTGTCCATCGGAGCCGATGTTTCTGCCTTCGATGAAGCCACAGCCCAACCAGCGTCAACAAAGGGAGATGCGATGCGTACCGGAGAAATTTCGAGTCAAGGGGATGTCGATCAACTTGTTCCCCTACCCCCGGCCATGTATGAAAGTCTGCTGGAGCTTTACAGGATTCAGTCCAACCCTTGGCGACGTTGCTCCGTTATATTGGAAATTGTGTGCCTAAGCCTAACTAGACATTTAGAACTCATTGAGTATCAAGAAAGCTGCCTTCGGGGAGGCCGCCTTCAAGAAAACTGCCTTCAAGGGGGCAATCGACTTGATAGTGAGGATGAGGGCAGTGATCAAGAGCCCAGTTCCCAACGGCAGGGCCCTGGAAGAGACGATGGCATGGCCCTAGAAGTCTCGGGCACGCCGCCTGAGAGCCTGCACGATGGCGCATCCGCGAAGCGTTCTCTTAACTTAATTAGCAAGGACACACTTGAATATTTTCATGTCATAGGTTTGAGCTCACTCAAGAAGACCATTAGCCAAATGTCGTATAGAGGATGGTTACTGGAGATCACAGTATTGACCTGGAAGATTTTGTATGTTATGACTTCCGACGAGCGGGTCGGTGCTGCCAATCGTCGAACCATTAAAGCTGTTCTCAACAATAATCTGGATAATCTGCTCAAAGACTATTCCCAGCAAGGTGGAACGACCGTGAGCCAGCTCTACACATGTTTGAGCCACTGCATACAACTCTAGTAAGCCAGCACACTTGGGTACTTGATTCTAGCACACTTGGGTACTTGATTCTAGCACACTTTGGTACTTGATTCTAGCACACTTGGTTACTTGATTCTAGCACACAGAAGTGTGTTAGACAGAATTCTTTTATCTAGTGACCCTGAGACTCGTTTGGAACTGGTGGAAAAAGCTTATAAGCTTGCGTCGATTATTCTTTCGCCAGAATGGGACTCGAAATTCGGTCGAAAGCTACATAAAAAAACGATCTGCGACTTCCTAGGGAATCATGTTGATTCCATTCTAGATCTCCTATTGAGAGATCCGGATTCTATACCAACTTTAATATGTAATACCACACCTAGATCTTCATTATATTATAGCACCTCGATTTACATCTTTCCGTCCTTGTCATTTACGGCCGTCATATAATAATTTGCATGTAGTGAATTGCTTGATGACTTTAAGCAGTCAACCTGAGATTACTCCAAGTTACTGTTCATCTGTCTCCTCTTCGTACAAGCTGCTCAGAACTATTTTCGGACATGAGCGATATTTGCGCGGTAATCAAAATGAAGGTATAGTCAGCCATCTGCTAGAGATAGTAAAGGTTCATAATCTCAGTGAAGAAGAACTCTCATTGGATAAAACATTCAGAGCATTAAAGCTACTCCTTCTTCTAAGGCCATGCATTGATGAAAATAGTTTATCAGATCTCTTTCACGTTCTAGAATATCAGCTACAAGAGTATGTTCCTGCCACCCCCCGCCCCTACCCCTCCCCCCCCCCCCTTACCCTCCTCCCCCTCTCCGCCCTGTCCCATTGCACTTATTCTTTCACACGTGTGTGCTTTCAGTTATGAAGAAAAAATCAAGTCTGGTCAGATCAGCAAGTCATGGTTGTTATTCCGGTTTGTTGATGTTTACTTTAATTACTTGATAGAGTACGATGATAGATTGACAAGTCGGTTGTTATATCGTTTGGTTTTATTACTTCTACAAATGGAGCAGGCAACAGGTTTAACATCATTATTATTGAAGAGAATATATCGAGGCTATTATGAAAAAGAATTGGATGCTATTGATGACGTGATTATGGCTGTGTTATTGCTATATAAGAACCCTTATTATACGTTATCTTCATTTACTACAAAGGGTGAAACTGGAGTGGTTATGGAGTGGAAGAATTCCATCACACAATGGCAATATCTTCCGATTATTGAATCTGTCAATTGGAAAGAAACTATTGTACGAACAGGAAGAAGCAGGAAGTACGAGCAGGAAGTACGAACAGGTAAGCAGGAAGATTTCGGATGTTGGTTGCTGGATAAATTTGGTCATTGTATTGTCAACGGTTATAGATTGCTTGGATCAAATGCAGACTATACTGATGTTTTTTCATACGACCCAAGTTCGACTACGATTACTCAGCTAACCCAACAGACGGTTCAACAAACAGTAATAACCGGTTCTCAATTTTACGCTACAGGCTCGTTATATCCGGTGAGTCAGCAGACCCTTGGAAGGGGAGTGGCAGAGTCCTTGGCGCTATCTCAAACCCAAGCATCAATGGACAGTCATCATAGGATAATTCAAATGACTGATTATACCTCTAGGGGTTTGGAGATCTTTGGTTATGATATCATTGAGTCAATCAATAAAATCGATTTTGATGAAGCGTCATGTAATTGTGGGTATATCTACCCACTTTGGTTTCGGATCCTCCAAGATCTAAAAATGGAATTGAATTGTTATCATTTAGTGCCACTACCTTCTCAACTTTATACCTGTGTTATTCAAACTTGTGCCGATGCTTTACAGGGGTCAACAAAACGCCGGGTATGTGATGTTTGGCGACAGTGTATGCTCCTATTCAACAATCTGGTCAGGACAATAATGTATAGTATACCTCTACCCTTGATGATACAGGAAGGCTTGAGTGAGTACAAGCTGGGCATCTACGATGAGGCTGAGACTTTATCCGTCACGGTCGCTAATAGGACCTCCAAAGAGACAGACGCCAATAATGCCAGTGTTCCTCAAGATGACGCCGGTGGTAACCAACCGGTCGACTCTCAGGTTGGCAACATTGTAGCTGAGGAGATTGGCCGCGAGGAACAGAGATTGCTTTTATTACATCTTGCCTACAACGATAAACTACCTATAGGCCATGTTCGGATTCAGAAAGGCTTGAATATTGAGGAGTTTGTTATTGCTTTGAAACATCGACTTATCTACATTGATACATTCTCCGACTACAAATCGGTAGCAAAAAAAATCGTGTCCTACTGCCATGCCAACGGCATCCAGCTCCTACCGCAAGTGACTAATAACTTAAAAATTCTATCATACTTTAGCACTGACCATACAAGCCGAGCCGTAACTGGAACTTGTGATGCCGTTCAGCTACAGACCTTGCAGGTCCAACTGTCGCAAGCCACGGAAGATTCTACGGGTCAAGTCATGAATGACCGACGTCTGTTCCAACTCATGTTCCATTCCAATGAAGAAGACATTAGCAATATAAAGGCAGGGCCTAATCTTACTCCTTTGCAAATAATTGAATATTTACTCACTGACCAAAGCTTGATTCTCGGACAGACAACCATTGAAGCCCTCACAGAGAAAATCCTAAGAGACTTGTCACTCAATCCGGAGAGAGAAAGCGCTGCAAAGTCGTCAGGCGGGCAATCTCCAAGCGTCGGACAATTCCCACCCTCTGGTGGGCCATCCTCTGGTGGGCCATCCTCTGGTGGGCCATTAGAAGGTGACTGGAAGGGGAAGAGCGAGTCGTACAGGAGGAAGAATCATCCGGCTGTTCTGGCGCACACACTGTTGTCGCTCTTGAAATTAATTGATGTCAACAACTGCTCTCCTAATGCGAATTTGAGAAATGCCATCAGCAAATTGATCAAAGACTCCCAGTCACCCTCCGACGGAGCAAAGGGACGAGGCTATCATGTTTACGGGCTCCCCTTATTAATCGGAATGATTCAACTCAGATCAATAAAGAAGAAAGCGCCGCTGTTCTCTACCGGAGCGGTCTGCTACCGAGCCAGCTACCTAAGGCAATGGATTGACCTGGCGACCGCTCATGATTACCTATCATATAATATCATTGCTTGCCAAGATCTTGCCTGTCAAGACCTTACCTGTCAAGATCTTACCCATCGAGGACATGCTGCAAATACCGAGTCGGCAGAGTCTAGTAGTCCTTTAGGTTCAAACCGACTGGCTCCGAGCGAGTTGACAGGAGCACAGTACTCGGCCCTTGGATCGCGGTGTTCATTGTCGTCACGTAAAAATGTGGTGGTGTTCCATACTCCCTGTCTCCATGGCCTGAATGAGGTGCAGCAACTGACAGAGTTGTGCCCCCTAGTCGCCTTGAACTATTTGCTTTCTTTCAACTCTGGAACGGACTTCGTATTTTGGAATGACGTCTCGCTCACTGGATGGTGGGCCTTAGTTTGCCGAGCAGTAGGCGCCAGTGGCATGCACGTCAAGGATGTGACGACCGATGCAGAGATGAAGATGTATGAGCCTGGCAGTGACCTTCGACGTCATGTTGGTCTCAGCAGCAGCTACGCTTATAAAGACGCTAATCAACCGCTATACGGCAGATGGGCTGGTGTACTTTGGAAGTATCTGGTTTCCCAAACCTTTACAAATGACCGATCGGCACATAACAGGGAAAAAAGACCAAAATGGCTGGAGTGGGATTGTGGATGCAGGTCATCCCTGTGCAAGCTTATGAACCGCACAGTGATTGGCATAGCCAACAAGGCACTGGTGTCCATTTTCGTGGATGTCGTGGGCGAAGAGAGGATCATAGAGCATTTTCAGCTGAAGACCACTGAGCTCATGAGTTTACTCCAAATGGACAAATTCAAGAGTCCAGCTTTCGTGCGACACGTAATCAAACAGGTTCTAGTTGGAAACCGTCAATCGTCCTCTGGCGTCAGACAGTCGTTGCTTGGCTGGATAATTGAACGGCCGGAGTATGGATACTTGCTGAAAGAGGTAGATGAAGACAGGCGTACGTCTACGGCTCAGGGTCCGAGCCAGGGCGCTACGGGCTTATCTGCGTCGGTGGGCTGGTCGCGAGTGATTCAGATGATTTTGAAGGCGTCCCAAAGGGACTCCGCAACCATCATCGGAATTCATTGTGAGGAGCTTGCCAACCTCACTTACCATCGGTCCGACAAAGGGGCTCAACTTGGGCTACATCATGACTTGACTCTTTTCCGCTTTGTTATTAATCATATACTGGCGATTCTCGACCGAGGCCCCCTCGATGAAGGAGTCGTGGGGGAACGAATTTCTGCCCAAGACAGCCAGAGGATTGTCGACCGCTTGCTGAAGTATGGATGCCTCCTGCGAGGACACCATTATACTTCCGACGTACAGGGATATTTGCCTAGAACACAACATAGAGTCGTATTCCCCGATCTGTATAATTCTTGCGCCGTGAAGCTGCCCCAAATGATGGCTGCAGTCCTCGCTGGCGGAGACTCTGCCGGCATCCCCTCGATACTCTCTACTTTTATGTCGCTATCATCTTCGGCCCGCACTACAATCAATGTAGAATTATTGAAACATAGTGTATGGCGGGAAATTTGCGCAAACGTTGGAGGAAACATAGGAGATTTAATTATATTGCCTACTGCCCATCGATGTCTTGTTTCGCCTAATTATCTTGATGAGATCCAGGTTATTATAGCAAAGAACTTGCTTAGAGAAACATGGCGAGCGGCAGCACACGCGTGTGCTAATGTTTTAGAGAAATTACAATCCGGCTATCGGAAGTGCTTGGGAGGCAAAAATGAGCCAGAACAACTCATAAATCATGTATCGCATACTGCTACCCTTTACGGATTGATGGACATTGCAATCTGCCGTCTAGGAAAGGAAAATATAATTGCGACGCAGTTGGATCAGAATGGCAGCCCTACCCAGAACACATCGTCCCAAAAGCAAGGAGGGACTTCGTCCACCAGTGGTACCATTATTAAGGAGTTGGTCGCAACAATTGCCAAATTCTCTAGCGCTCTGGCCGTTTTCTCCGGCTCTTTGGGTGACGAGATAGACCTACCTTTATCAATCCAGGCGGTGCTCAAGAGACAGTCCAGTTCGGATCCGGTGGCTGCATCCGCGCGGTCTCTAGCTGTCATTCATCCTCCGAAACTGGTTTCTTTGGACGAGGCGGAATCCTTGCTTCGATTGGGAATTATCTGGTCACGGTTGCATGTTGGACTGTCCTCCTTACAAGCTCGTTTGATTTCAACTTTGACGAATGCCATATTAGTAACACAGGGAAAGCCTTGGAAGTTCATCAAAAAATGGGTTGCGCCTCATCTGGATGCTTTTATGCTCGCCACCATCGGGCCGGAATTGCTCTGGCGCATAAAGGGCGAACCAATTTACCCTCCTACAAAGCATGTGATCCTGGATCCCACTGTGGTAGGTCATGTATCCGACGGCATTTTGGAGCCGATGGTGACCCGGTCGGTGCATGTTTGGTGTCCGGGATTTTCTTTGGCGCCCACCCGATATTCCAAGCGGGAAGCATTATATGAGACGGCCGATGAGAATGAAGACAGCAACGCGACTGCCGAGCAGAGTATGACCATAGATGTGCGCGAGTACACTCAACTTAACGCAAGCCAAGGCAGGACAGAGCAACGAGGCCTCCGTACTAAAGGAAGCAGACGCCTTGCCAACAAGGAGTTGAGCATATCGGCAATGGTCAATCCAATTGGCCGTATCTTGCTAGGGAATGGCCGTGCGGTGAAGGGATATTTTTCTCATTTCAGCCATTGCATTTCCGCTATGATCAAAGCTTGTGGAGAAGCTGGCGAGGACATCGTAGATGACCTCTGTGACGTGTTTGCATCCGGTGCAAACGATGCGGGACCCGAGACATCAGGACGGATGGGAAAGGAAGGCTTGCAGGACGATTACACCTTGCGGATCGCCCAGTACATGACGGCTGAGCACCTGGATTTCAGTCGGCGAGCCTTAAACATCATTTGCTGGGTTTATGTCCAGCTGCATATCTCAGCCGACGCGAATCCGGACCCGGTTGAGTATGGAACCTTTCTTAACCTGAGCGCTAGTCTGAGAACGAAGATGCTGCTCGAAGGACTAGTTCTGTCCGGACGCATTGACCTTAGCAAACACCTGCGGTACGTAACCCTTTCCTTCCGGAACGCCAACAAAATGTCTTCCAAGCTGCGCTTTCTCATTGCGCAGATACCGGGCATGGAGTCGTACTATGACTACCGACAGAATGCCGCTAAACAGACCGACAGCGGCTCGGGGAAATTTGAGCTGGATGATCTGTTGAACCTATTGCAAGTAGTCGTGCGACTTGCGCCGAATCCGAGCGGAGTCACCCAAAGGAAGAATCTGAGGTACATCAAGGGACTGATTTTGAACACGTTCAAGACTGTGGACAGGATAGGAGAAGCCGAAATCAAGTTTAAACCTGTGGTCGACCTTTGTCTCGCTATGATCTCCAAGGGCAAGGCTGTGCCGTACCTGTTCTCAGCGGGCGTCCACGTCTTGTCCTACTTGCTCAGGGGAGTCCAACTCATTGAGAAGGACCAGTTTGGGACAAGACTTATTTTGAGCAAAAGCCCATTATATCTCCCTGAGTACGCGCCCCCACCGGCACCAAGTTGTGCGCCCCCCCCCCCCCCCGCTCTTCGCGTCGACTCATGCACAACTCTGGGCCCAGACAACGTGGCGAACCCTGAATTGCGCTGCGCACACACGTGTGCACACACATTCTATGCACAAGCACACACAGTCGCGGTGCGCACATACCCTCCCGGTTTCTTTAGTGGCGCGCTGAACCTGATGATTAGCAAACTGGATGAGAAGGGTGTGGGTACGAGTGAGGTGGAGAGCGTGGGTTTCGTGGTGGCCGCTTCATTGGCGCTGAATAGCCAGCGTGCGGTCGTGGTGTCGACGTTGCGTCAAAAGCTGGCGGCGCTGGAGGGCGCTGTGGGACGGAAGTGTGTGGTGTACCACGAGTTGCTTTCGCTGTTCCCGGCGTACTTCGGTGACGAGGAGGAGGAGCGTGACCAGGATTTGCGACTGCTCGTGGAGAGTAGCGGGGACGTGTTGCGACGGGCGACGATACTGGACGAGAGTGTTCGACTGAGCAAAGCCGCGGCCAACGTAGCAGTGCAGGAGGCGCTGCAAGTCGTCTACATGATCCTGAAGGTGGAGGCCGTTTACCTCGCTCCCAGTAAGCTGCGGCCCGCCGTGGCGGACACGGTTACTGTCTCGGACAGCGCGCCTCAGTGGGGATTGGCCTGGGGCATCCTGGATGCCGCCAGCTTGACGCCGGAGGCACTGGAGTCGCAAGCTGTCAACTCCGTCTTCACCTTGCTAGACCGCTACGTTTCGCTGCTCGACCTAGAACGGTTGCTAACCATCCCCGAAATCAACTTCCGCGCGTTCGGCCAACGTATCACCTTCAAACAACTTCTCATCCTCTGCTTCACACACCGACTCGCCGCTGGCTACCAAGACGCGCGTCTCCACGAACCGGCACTCAACCTCATCCTTAATCGCTAAGGACCGGGAGGGAGGCCGACCGACTCGTTGGCCGCCGACTGGCTGGACATGCAATGCACCTTGGGCGCTGCTTAGTTCTCCTTACTGTGCTGGGCGCTGAGGACCCCGGCCCCGAGAACATTCGGCGCCTGGTCCTGGCGAACGTGCAGCCCGGAGAAAACAAGGCACCGCAGCACCTGCCCGGCCCCGCGGCCGAGAGGGATATGGCCGACGAGGATATGGCCGAGGGCGATACGGCGGAGGGCGACGGCGCAACGGGTACCGCGGTCGAGGCCGACTCAGCGCAGGGTGACGATGACGAGGCAGCAAGGGGAGACTATGTGGATGTAGTAGACGACGAGGCCGCGGCAGCAAATGGTGCAGCCGAAGGAGAGAAGGCCGAAGCAGCAAAGGGTGACGATAGTGCAGTAGATGGAAAGAAGGCCGGAACAGCAAAGGGTGACGATAGTGCAGTCGATGGTGATGCATCATTGGATGACGATTCGTCACCAAGTATGATGCCGGAGCCCGAACGCGAATCCAGCCGGTCGAGAGAAGCGCGAGCTGCCAGTCCTCGCTTCCGCAACCGGCGTCAGTCTGTCCTGGCGGATGTCGACGAGGAAGAACCCGAACCCGACGTCGCCGAGAAAGAATCAGTCGAGGAGGAAGAACCCGAACCCGACGTCGCCGAGAAAGAACCAGTCGAGGAGGAAGAACCCGAACTCGATGTCGCCGAGAAAGAATCAGTGCCCGAACTCGATGTCGCCGAGAAAGAATCAGTCGAGGAGGAAGAACCCGAACTCGATGTCGCCGAGAAAGAATCAGTTGCGGCCCAGAAAGAACCCCCGACTCCGCGACCAAGGCTTCTACCAGAAGACGGCTCTGAAACCGGTGGGCCACCGGCGCGACCGACCAAGAGTAATGGTATAGATGCAGGAACTTCCCGCCGTACTGGATCGGCTGTGGGTGCACCGGATCTTGCCCGGATGAAGGAGTTACCGCCGGAGGAGGAAGCGCCCAGGGAGGAAGTGCGCAAGAAGGGCAGCCTTCCAAAGGACAAGTTGCCGAAGTTCATGAAAAGAATGTTCGGGATAAAGTAGTCCGCTAGATCATGAGCGTCTGGAGGGCGCCTCGGGTGGGGGTAGTGGTGGCTGGTGTAGCCGTGGTGGTCGTGAATCCAATTCCTGAAAAAGCCAGTGTTTTTGCCTCCCCCCTTTGCGTCGGTCGATGACAGACGTGTTTAGAGACCTGGACCTCTTCGACTGTGGCGAAGCTGTTCGCCTGTTGGAGAGTGTAGTTTGTGATGAAGCTGAGTTTGAATCTAGCAACGATTTGGAGCTTAGTGACGCCTTTAACGCTGCGTTGCAGACGCTGAGGAGCGCCCCGGCGATTCGAGCAGCGGGGCCTACGATCTATGGAATTGTGCAAGACGTAAGAGTGCACTGAGGGTAAGAAGTGGTACGGACTTGTTGTAGTGGCTGGGTGTTGATGACGATGGTTTTATTACGGCTCTCGAACCCATACTAGATAGATTATGTACAGACATGGCGGGAGCGTTGGACCGTTTCACAACCGCCATCATCGACGGCGTGATCGTCGACGGCGCCCCGTCGGGGAGGGACTCAACTCAAAGTAGCGTCTCAATGATTGCTTGGACCACGGAGAAATACTCGATTTCATTCATCAATGGCCTCTTGTTCTGCATCCTCTGCCTGCTGGATATATACGGATGGTGTAAGAAACCTGCCAGCACCTTATATTGGCATTGGATATCCTTGCTGCTGGCGGAGAGCTTTGTCAATCCGTCGTCCGCCTCCGACAACATCTTGCGGAAACTTACCAGTCAACCAATCACGAGCTTGGTACTACCCTTAAAAAGACGGCCGGCAATCGCCAGTGGGGAAGCCACGGAGACAATGGATGTCGAAGATCTATCGTTGCAAGTTTTAAGCGAACTCATCAAGAACCCCTTTGTTAACGGGGGATACATGACGCTTGAATGTGGTACAGAATTGTATAGACGAGTCTTGAGTACGCTAGTCGTTGAATTTGACAATCGATCTCAACTTATCAGTCGAGGCACAGAATTAATTGCAAACACGTGTGCGACAGCGCAAACAATTTCTTTCCAGGCTTCGGGGTCTCAGAACGGTGCGCTGGCCTGTGGAATTCCGTCTAGTAAATGGTTCAGCCAAATTTCACCGTCCTTGAAGACAACGGCGGCTCCTTCTATCATCTTGGCTCATATGGTTTTGAAGACTTTACTGCCATTTTCAGTACAGTACAGCTCTGTGGCGACGAACACGCCCAAAGAGGTTCTGTCGAAGCAGACAGTGGCTGGACATTTGCTAAGGACTTTTGCAGCTTCTATTCCTGCGCTATTTAGTGGATCCGACGTGCTGAAGCGGTATTTCCGATTGCCACCTCCTGTCCGAGGGAAGGGAGCTCGACGTAATGGGAGACTAGAGGGATCTGAAGGCTGCAGCGACGAGGAGATGGAGGTCTCTCAGGCGTCGGCTGGGGAGGAGCCACCATCAGCATCGTTGGGGAAAGCCAAAAGGGCGCGAGACTCGAATCGCGACTTGAACCGTGATCTTTTTGCTGAGCCGGCATCTCCATGGCTAGCCTTCATTTGCATGGCCTTGTGCATGTTACCTGACCGCCGAGATGTTCGAGATCGGTTTGTGACCGTTGTAGTGGAATGCATTAGAGATCATGACGAATTCGCTGTTGCTCTAATTGACGTTTTGATGCAGATTGGTTCAGGCCATGACAGGGGATCTATTCGTTTATCCGCCTCAGAGCTGAGTGTGGCGGTGGCTTTAGATCATCCCGGTATGGACATCGAGCCAGTAATCAATTCGATTGTGCTACGTTGTTCGGACCAGCAGTCGACAGTTCGAGCCAGGGCAGTAGAGCTGTTGGGTCAGGCGTTGACTGAACTGAATCGCCGCCAGATAACCAGCGTTCATCGGGCGAGTAATGTTCCAGCGACAACCATTACTCCTCCCGGGTCACCCACATGTTCAAGGCCATGGTGCGGTTCTGAGAGCGGGTCTGCGTTACTGACAAAGTGGTTGCCCCGGATAACTGCGATTTTGCATAGCCGGATTCTGGACGAAAAGAGCATAGTTCGAAAAAGCTGTGCCAGTCTGATAGAGAGCTTGTTTGTAACGCTTGAAGCGAATGTTCTGAAAGTACTGTCTCCTGACGTTTTGGAGATTTTGTGTGATGACATTACGATTACGGTACGCCAGAAATTTAGTGGTTTGGTATCCAGCCTTTATTGCGACCTGGCTTGGCTTCGTGGCAGCCTGGGTCGTCCTGGGGAGGTGGATCTTGATCGCGGTAGTGCGGATGCGGTTCTCGGCGTCTTACTCAACCAAATGTTCCGTCTGTCGTCCGACGCCGAAGAAGTCGTGTGCAACAAGGTATTGGACACAATTGAGAGTCATATGTTGGCTGAGCAAGTCGAGGCAGTGGAGGCGAGAGAGCTAACATCGATTAACTACTTGGTCGTACTGAATGAAGAACTTGCAGACCGCTACATGCGCGCAGTGGGACGCTTAATCGAACGCGGAGCTACCACTGGAAGCCCCACTACAGTTGTACCCGCCTTGATGAAGAGCTTGTGCCAGGGAATTGTAGCCAGGATCGCAGACGAAGGGGAACGACGGGAACAACGGACTATAAAAAGGTCTGGAACTGGGAGGCGTTTGAGACTGCGCCCCTCGGAACAACATAATGAAAATGAGAGTCGCGAATTGAGAGAGAACTCGAGAGAGGATTCGATGGAGGATTCGAGAGGTGAAACGAAATCAGCTGATAGAACCAGCGTCTCTGCCAGGGATAGAAGCTGGGATAAAAGCCGGGATCGAAGCGGGGAGCGAAGCGGGGAGCGAAGTTGTGAAAGAAGTAGAGGCAGAGAGAGAGGTAAAGAGGCTCCCGAGGCAGATGATTGCCACTGGATGTGCTCTTTGTTATGCAATCTAGCTATCGCCGCAAGCAGCACTACAAGCGGCAAAAAAATCATACAAGGTCTGTCCAAAGACTGCTTAATGTTGTGCTTGTCTTTATTCGAGTCTATAATTAATCACAATAACTTGGGCAACAGCCGATCATTGGAGCACACGCGTGTGCGTCTGGAACTGTTAATTATTTTCGCGGACTCAATCGACCCGAAAAATCGTTCCCTTATTTATGAGAGCCTAGAGTCGGTATTGTACAATTATCTTTGCCATCCTTGCTTATTCCCAAAGATTGCGACTCTCTGTGAGGTGTTAGTGAGAAGCATTGAAGATAATTCGTCGGGGGCTTCGGCCAAGAGTGGTCGGCGCACCGAGGATAAGGCATGCGAATTTTTGATGCGTCTCTTGAGTAATAGCAAGAGGACCCTGAGTAATCTGAGTTCCAATGAGCCATGTGCATTGGAACATATTGCAAACGCGTGCGTAGCATGTGGTTACGTGTGCATGGCGGCTCAGAATCTGAACGTGGCCAAGCTAAACAAATTTATAGCGACGATGGATAAGGCATTGGTGGTAACGTTATTGGGATTGGCTGGAAATAATATTCTGGATCGTACAACACCGGAATGGTTAAGATGTATATGTATAACGTCCGTATCCCAGATATTACTAAGTCATGAGGGTTTGGCAAAAAGGTTCATGTCCAGACTTGTTGAACTTGGTATTGAGAATGGTACGATAAATCTGGTGTATGGATGTTTCGACCTGACGATAGGAATGACATCGGTAATGGATCCGTATTTAACGTTGTTAACATCTACCTTATCATCGTCGGCGGGAGGAATTGTTTCGACTCTTGTTTCAGTCCCGAGTCTTGTTTCAGTTTCGAATTTAGTTCCTACCTCGGGTCTTGCTCCGGTCACTCAGATGCCACCTGTAGAGGATTATTCGGGAGAATTAAGGTTCACGACGTTGCAGTTGATTGCCCAGTTAATCGCCCAGGACTACATCAAATGTAAGGGTCTGGTGGTACATCATCTTTTGTTCGCGTTGGGAGATCCGTGTCCGCAGGTGAGTGGGTTGGCGCTTGATCTGACACAGACGATTTTGTTGCCGCGTGTTCGAGACTTGCTGCTAGTTTACTTTGTGGAAACCGTCTGCTTTATGACGGGGTACTATACACATCCTAAGGAAGAGATAAAGCCTTTTGACTCGATCCATCCGTTGCAGAGGGATGTCTTATCCGTGGCGAAAATGAGGGAGGTGAATATTTCTCGGTTCGTATGCGGCCGACCAAGACGCATGATCGTGTACGCTAGTCTCCTGGCTCTATCCCAGGAGCAGTCCAAACACCTTTTGACCAGCAAATGTGTGCAAGACTTTATCCAACCTCTCATCGACCAGGGCCACGACTCACTGCCCGCAGACGACGAATCCACGCCCTGCGGCCAGGCCCTCAGCGACATACTCGCTGTACTCGCTTCCTCCGACATGAAACTCATTTTCCGAGCCGCACCCCTTCTCGGCACGGAAGACAATGACGCTGCAACAGAAGCCTCTAAAACTAAATATGAGAAACAACTCATGATCGGATACATGACACAGACCGTGGTACCCGTCCTAGCCAACCTCTATAAGGCTCTGCGCCACAAGAACAGCGCCCTACAAAAAAATGTTGTCTCCACACTCGCCGACCTACTTGCAGAATTCCATTCAGAACTCGATGACATCGTCGAAGACAAAGGACTCCGACGCATACTCCAACGCAAACTCGATTCTACTCAAACAGTCGACGAAAACAACCCCCAAGTCTTCGACCCCATCAAGGCTTCTAGAAGAAGACGGCTTAAAATGAACCTCGTCCCCGAAGATGGAAGCTTCTCGGCTGCAAGGTAACTAACTAGCCAGCCTGCAAGGTAACTAGCTAGCCAGCCACCCACCCATGCCAGCTTACGACCAGAGAGCTGGCGGCTAGCACAGGCGCTAAACCAGCCGACGATATCCAAGTTCCAATACCACTAACGAGATCAAACTGCTGGCGTCATTGAAGCGTCAGCGCAAACACCAACATCGTATTGTGTGTTAGGACAGTTTGCTTCCAAAAAAAAATGATCCTATGGGCGACCATGCCAAGCTGTTACGACTGTGGCGAGTGAGATAACAGCCACAGTTATCTCACTCTGTGACGTCACGACGTGGACTCCAAATAAGACGCGTTCCAGGAGAGAGCGTCAGGGGGCGATCCGGTCGTGTTTCCGACGTGGTACGACCGGGAGGGCACTACGGGCAGTACGTATTATCGATACATCGTGGTCATAAGTATCGTGAGATAAACCAGATGGTGATGATGAGTAGGGGTATGCCTTGACAGAGAGCTAGAGCTTGCGTCTTCTGGTCCTTGGGTGTGTTAAGCCAGAAGAGTTCGATTCTGTTTTTGCCGCGTCTAAAAAGCTCACGAAGCAGCTCATGGCTGGGTACTTGCTCGAGATGGTAAGTCCGATCGTCTTCAGTGGGTGCCGTATCATCGCTGGTTGCACCGTTGGGTTCAGTCCGTCCGGATGAGAGTGTAAATAGTCTGGGAAATCGTTCGTTCACAAATTGTTCTTCCAGGATTCGGTTCCTTTTAAGAGCTCGCCATGTATCCTTATCATCAAATAATCTCTTGCGGCATGTAGGACACTTGGCAGACTCATTCTCAACTAGTTCCTGCAGACACTTCTCACACAGATCATGACCACAACTACCCAATAATCGGGCGTATGTTCGATCACCCGGCCGATACGTTTCGTAACATATCGGGCACTTGAACATAACGAAAAACCCCGCCCTGTTTCCAGGCGGCAAGGTGCGACTGTATGGGTGAATTACCCTGAGTAAATTACACCGCGCGAATAATGAAAAAAGATCGGTATCATAGACAAGAAAAATTGTAACCATAGGTAGCGATAGGTAGCGATAGGTAACGAAGGTAGCGATAGGTAACGAAGGTAGCGATAGGGAATTGATGGCGTCGGACATGATTGCTCATTTTCGGTGCATCAAAGACAAGAAGAACCCTCTGCATTTATGCGTCGTCTGATCTGACCGTCGGCATGATGTTCGCCACCAGCTTTGCGGCTTCAGTTCCCTCGTCGGATCCACTGACCTAACTTTAGAGTTCTGCCAGCCTTTTACCGCCTTTATGGAAACCAGTTCCACACTATCCTCCCCTTGCAGGCACTTGTCCACCACATCTTCGTTCTCCTCAGCCCATAAAGAACAGGTAGAGTAAACCAGTCTTGAGACGACAGGCAAGCTGACTGCATGCTCCAGCATAGTTTGCTGGAACTTTGCCAGAAGAGCTACCCGCTTCACCAGTGACTCATCTTTATTCTTCATCGCTTGCTTCACTTCTGCCATGTGTTCAGTAAGCCCGCTCCCGCTACAGGAAGGGTCCAATGACATGATACAGTCTCCCACTTGGCCGGCAGCACTCGCAGTGAGTCGAGCAGGTAGCTCAACAGGTTGCTCAACAGGTTGCTCAACAGGTTGCTGGTGTGCTGGATGGAATTTTTCAATCATGTAGTTCAAGCATTTCTTGTGAAGGCAGATACACTCACTACACGCTCTATTGCAGGATAGTACCCTGGTGAAGTCCAGATTGAGCAGCAAAGTCACCAACTGGCCATCAGACGACCTCAGGACGTAATGCTGGCCTTCCCATTTTTCTTTCCGGGTACAGACACTTTCCTTTTGCACTCGATCAACCAATGTTTTGAATCGACCCTTGTCCTGATCTATACCTATAACGAGACCTTTACTTTTTAGCGACGATATAAAGTGGAGAGTCTTTGAACCGGGTGCGGCGCAAACATCTACAACCGTATCGCCAGGCTTGGGCATGAGCACATGCGCGGTCAAACACGCCGAACGATCCATCATGGCCAAGACGCCGGTCTTCACCAACTCGTGCTGCCTCAGTTTGGCAGTAAACTTGGAATCCACGGCAACTACGTCCGGAATGAGATCATCCACCATAACCAACTCATTTGTGTGCTTGGACAGGATTTGCGACAGTGAGTCTACAGCTTCCTTGCGGGACAACCTATTTAAATCAACCCTCAAGTACCGGAGCGCAGTTTGTGCTCGTTGTTTCTCCGCTTTTTTCTCCGCAGCAAACGTTCCCGGTTCGATTCCAAGCTCCACCAAGGCATCGGTCACCTCCCGAATTAATCGACCCTTACCTCTGATGCCTTGGGCGGAGTACAAATAGTCCGCAACCATGGACATGATGACCCAACGGGAGCCAGACTTGAGGTTTTTAAGGGGCTTCTTCTTCAATAACTGATCCAATTGCTCTCGATGATCCAGAGCAGTGGTAAGCAAAGCCAAGGCAGGTGGCAGCACATTCTGCGGTTTCTTTTGCGCCTTCACAACCCTATATAAAGCGCTCTTCAAGCCTTGTTTCCTCACTATTACATCCCGCAACGCAGCCCCGGCAACAGAATACATTATTATTGCGCCGGTCCAACAAAAAAAGGTCGGAGCTAGCGACCTTGGTGCAAACCTTCCAGGCCACACCGCTCTGAGAGCGAACCACCCTAGGACCAACCGGCGAAGGGTGGCCACTTGGCAGGTGGCAACCTGGAGGTGGGCAGGTGGGTACTGGTTGGACAATCAGGTCGTTATCGCCGTAACTGGTCTTAGACAATCTGTGCGGGTCGGATGGGTTCCCACTCGGCTTCAGAGAACGGTAGGCGGAGTCTGGCTTCGCGTTCGTTGTCCTCACCGATGTTGAGTTTGATAGGTAGAAGGGGTAGTTCGCAATGTTTAATAGGTCTACTGACTTGGGGTATTTTGAGTCCAGGTCGCTTTTCTTTGGGCGTAATAAGCGTGTTGCCAAGATGTGCGGCATTGAAGGCGTGAGTGTTAACCTTGTCGCCGGCTAGAGCATCGTCATAGCAGCGTTGGGCGGCTGCCTCGTCGCCAAGATAGCGGTGCATGTCTCCTTGAAGACTTTTGAGCGCTCGACGCGCCTCAGATTTCTCGCTGTAATCGCCGCTTAATAAGTTATTGATGATCTCCAAACCCGACTGGCATACTCTATGCAGTCCCCGCTGAGCTTCCTCCTCCAACTGCTCCGCTTTACGACCGAATGCTTCCGCCGTCTCCACAGAACGCGACGTTCTAAAGGCGTGCGCCTGGTGTTGCTGGAAACGTAACTCCTTCGCCGCACGATCAATCGACCGCACAAACGTTTTGTAGTCCTTGTTCTCAGACTCAGACTGCCGCGTGTGCTCACTAGCCTTCTTACAGTACTGCACCGCCTCTTCATAACGCTCACTCAACACTGCAATCTTCGCCTTATAAATCCAGTACTCGCGGTAGTTCTCAGGCCCTACAGTATAGATCCCGATTCTCAGGTCCCGCAATTCATAACAACGTACCACACACCCCACAACACCCTCCCACAACCAGACAGCACCATCCCGCAAACACACAGCGAGTCCCACAACCCTCAGTCCCACAACCCCCCAGTCTCCAACCCCCCAGTCTCGTAGCCACACAACCTCCATCCCTCCCCACTGCGTAACTCACTGTTCATTTCCGGCCCCGCACTCGCTTGAGGTGAGTCCCCCGTGCGAGATCGAGCTTTGGGCGTGTCATATGAAGTCATGATGTAAAACAAAAAAATGTTTAATGCCGAGCTAGTTTAAATGCCGAGCTACTGCTCGATATTCTCCTATATCCGTCATCAGCAGATCCCGCCCAGTCCGTCCCACAACTCAAGGACAAGATTCAGCGACTTAGGCACACGACTTGGAGACTTACTCATCGTGAACGGAGTCCTTGCCTAGGGGCGTTTCGGCGCCTGCGAGCAGCCCAAAGCGTTTCTTCAAAAGGACACGTTGGGCAGCGTACTTGTCATCCGGCGAGAAACGGGCAGGATGGGCGGTGAAAGTGGCCTCCCCCGTAGGAGATGCAGCCTGCAAAGGTATTTATTAACCAAGAAGACCACTTACCTTGAGCGTATACACTCGAAGACCCGT